AGTCTAAAATATGCATAGAAATGCAAATAGCCAAGATAATCCTGAAGCAGAACAGAGCTGGAAGGATTATACTGCAGCATATCATGCCTTATTGGAAGCTACAGTGACTAAGATAGTATGGTATTGTAGACCAAAAATAGATGAACGCACGAATAGAATAGAGGGTCTAGAAGTGGACTGACACATATAGGCCACTTGATTTATGATAAAGGTAATATTTCAGAGCAGTGTGGAAAAGATTTTTTTAGTCAATGTCCTTTTATGTATGGCTTATTTCACTTAGCATACTGTCTTCAAGGTTCATCCAAGTTGTAGCATGTGTCAGAATTTCCTTCCTTTGTTTTGTTTGTTTTTTGTTTTTGAGACAGAGTCTCGCTCTGTCATCCAGGCTGGAGTGCAGTGGCACAATCTCAGCTCACTGCAAGCTTCGCCTCCCGGGCTCACGCCATTCTCTTGCCTCAGCCTCCCAAGTAGCTGGGACTACGGGCACCTGCCACCATGCCCAGCTTATTTATTTATTTATTTATTTATTTATTTATCACAGGCATGAGCCACCATGCCCAGCGTTTAAGGCTGAATACTATTCAATTGTGTGGATATACCACATTTTGTTTATACATTCATCTGTTGATGGACATTGGGTTGTTTTTACCTTACAGCTATTGTGAATATTGCTGCTATGAACTTTGGTGTACAAATATCTCTTCAAGTCCCTGCTTTTCATTCTTTCGGGTATATATCTAGAAGTGGAATTGCTGGATCATGTGGTAATTCCATGTTTCATTGTTTGAGGAACTGCCATACTATTTTCCACAGTGGCTGCACCGTTTTACGTTCCTATCAGCAATGTACAGGTTTCCAATTTCTCCACATCTTTGCCAACACTTCTTATTATCTGTTTGTTTGTTTTGTTTTTCAAATAACGGCCATCCTAATGGGTATGATTCTGTTTTTCAAATTTACTTTTTGCAGTGGTAAAAAAAAGTCTCACTTTGGCTCACTATGATTACTATACAAGGAAATTTAACAATTAACATTTAATGGGTACTTGTCATCTGCTATGCACTGAACAGGGTTCCTTAATTTTTTATCTTATTTAATTCCCACAACATCATTTTTCGGCAACCTTTCTATTGAACTATAACATACATACAGAAAAATGCACAAATCATAAATGCATAGATTGATGAATTTTCACACAGTGAATATATCCATGTAACCAGCACCCAGATCAAAAACGAAAAACATTACCAGTGCCCCAGAAATCTCACTGGTGCCCTCTCTCAGTTCTGTTCAGCCCCCACTACCCACCTACTCCAAGAGAAAGCAAAGATAATAACTTTAAACCCGTAGATTGTTTTTGCCTATTTTTGAATTTTATATAAATGGGACAGAATATAAAATCTTTTGTATATTGCTTCTCTTACTATGTATATGTTTACAAGGTGCATTCATGTTGTTGCATATAATAGTTCATTTATTCTCATACTAAATAGTATTCCATTTTACAACTATACCACAATTTATCCATTCTACTTTTGAGAGATATTTGGGTAGTTTCCTGTTTTTTGTTTTTTGTTTTTGAGACAGTGTTTTGCTCTCATTGCCCAGGCTGGAGTGCAATAGCGTGATCTCGGCTCACTGCAACCTCTGCCTCCTGGGTTCAAGCGATTTTCCTGCCTCAGCCTCCCGAGTAGATGGGATTACAGGCATGTGCCACCACGCCCAGCTAATTTTGTATTTTTAATAGAGATGGGGTTTCTCGATGTTGGTCAGGCTGGTCTCGAACTCCCAACCTCAGGTGATCCACCCGCCTTGGCCCCCCAAAGTGCTGGGATTACAGGCGTAAGCCACCATGCCTGGCCTCCTGTTTTAGGCTGTTACTAATAGTTCTGCTGTGAGCATTCTTTTGGTAAATACCTTTTGACGAAAATACATGTGCAATTGGGAGTTTTTCCAGGAGTGGAATTGCCAAGTCACAGTGCATGGATATGTTTAGCTTTAAAGATGATTTCCAAAGGAAATTGATAAGTATACATATCCAGCACTGAATATGAGTCCTAGAAGCTCCGAACACTGGCTGGCATTTGAATCATTTGTCTTTTTCATTTTTGCTACTCTGGTGAATGTATAGTGATATTATATTATGCTTTTAAGTTGCATTTCTTTGAGGAATAGTGAAATTGAGCACTATGCTCATATCTTTATCAGCCACTTGGATATCTTCTTTTGTGTATTATTTGTTCAAATATTTTGCCCATTTTTCTGTTGGTATGTCTTCATTGTCTGCCTTCTTCTTATTAATGATTAGTGTTCTTTATATATTCTAAAAATGGGTTATTTGTGCATTGTGTATTACAAATATCTTTTCTCATTTGTCTTTTTACTCACTTCATGATGTTTATTGATGAACGGAAGCTTTAAATTTTAATCTAGTCCAATTAATTAAGTTTTGTCTTAATGGTTAAGGCTTTTCGTGTCCTGCTTAAGAATCTGCCACCCTACAAGATCATGAAGATATTTTATGTCTTATTCTAGAATATTTATTAGTTTTTCTTTTACATTTAGATCTATAAGGCACCTAAATTATTTTTCATGTATGGTGTGAGGTAGGCATTTGGGATTCGTTTTTTTCCCATGTGCATAGCATGAAAATAAATAAAATTGTGAATTTGGCACAGTTCAAATAATACTAACTCCTTTTTGAAATATTCCGCAGAATCTCAATTAGTTTTTTTTTTTTTTTTTTTTTTTGAGATGTGGATCTTAATATGTTGCCCAGGCTGGTTTCAAACTCCTGGGCTCAAGCAATCCTCCCACCTCAGCCTCCTGAGTATCTGGGATTACATGCTACTGTGCCTGGCCCAATTAGATTTAATGAATTAATTAATTATTTTAAATTAACTCAATATTTTTACACATCTAGTGTTTGCCAGTTTAGCTAGGTTGGTAAAGAAAGTCCTCTCTGAGAGCCAACATTTGAGCTCAGACCTGATGGATGAAATGAAGCCAGCCACAAGGGGGTTGGGGAAAGAACATTTCAGGAAGAGGCAAGAGGTAGGTAGGTAAAGTTTGATATGTTCAAGGAACAACAGGAAGGCCAGTATCGCTGAAGTGTAATGCCCAAGATTATGTGAAATACGAGATAATTCTTATGAATGGGAGAGCAAAGGAAAGAGAACCTGATCACCAGAAGATAATGGAGCAATGCTTTCAAAGTCCCGAGAGAAAATGTTGTCTTCAACCTAGAATTCTTTTTAAAAAAATTTCAATAGTTTCTCGGTTACAGGTGGTTTTGGTTACATAGATAAGTTCTTTAGTGGTAATTTCTGAAATTTTAGTGCACCCATCACTCAAGCAGAATACACTGTACCCTATATATAGTCTTTTATCCCTCACCCCCCTCACACTCTTTCCCCCTTGAGTCCCCAGTATTCGTTATATCATTCTTATGCCTTTGCATCCTCATAGCTTAGCTCCCACTTATAAATGAGAACATGTGATATTTGATTTTCCATTCTTGAGCTACTTCACTTAGAATATGACCTCCAGCTCCATCCAAGTTGCTGCAAAAGACATTATTTCATTCCTTTTTATGACTGAGTAGTATTCCAATGTAGCATATATACAACATATTTTCTTTTTCCACTTGTTAGTTGATGGGCACTTAGGTTGGTTTCATATCTTTGCAATTGTGAATTGTGCCACTATAGACACGCATGTGCATGTATCTTTTTAATATAATGACTTCTTTTCCTTTGGGTAGACACCAGTTGTAGGATTTCTGGGTTGAATGGTAGTTCTACTTTTAGTTAGTTAAGGAATTTCCGTACTGTTTTCCATAGTGGTTGTACTAATTTACATTCTCATGAGCAGTGCAGAAGTGTTCCCTTTTCACCACATCCATGCCAACATCTAGTATTTTTTGACTTTTTAATTATGACTATTCTTGCAGGAGTAAGGTGGTATCTCATTGTGGTTTAAGTTTGCATTTCCCTGATAATTAGCAATGTTGAGTGCTTTTTGATATGTTTGTGGGTCTTCTTTTGAGAATTGTCTATTCATGTACTTTGCCCACTTTTTGATGGGATTATTTATCTTTTTCTTGCAGATTTGTTTGAACTCCTTATAGATTTTGGATATTAGTCCTTTGTTGGATGCATAGTTTATGAATATTTCTCCCACTCTGTGGGTTGTCTGTTTACTCTGCTGGTTATCTCTTTTGCTGTGCAGAAGACTTTCAGTTTAATTAGGCCCCATTTATTTATTTTTGACTGAGTACAGAATTTAATTAGGTCCCATTTATTTATTTTTGTTATTGTCGAATTTGCCTTTGGGGTCTTAGTTATGAATTATTTGCCTAAGCCAGTGACTAGAAGAGTTTTTCCAATGTTATCTTCTATAATTTTTTATGGTTTCAGGTCTTAGATTTAAGTCTTTGATCCATCTTGAGTTGATTTTTGCATAAAATAATACATGAGGATCCAGTTTCATTCTTCTACATGTGGCTTGCCAGTTTTCCCAGCACCATTTATTGAATGGGGGGGTGTCCTTTCCCCAATTTATGTTTTTGTGTGCTTTGTCAAAGATCAGTTGACTGTAAGTATTTGATTTGATTTATGGGTTCTGTCCATTGGTCTACAAGCCTATTTTAATACAAGTGCCATGCTATTTTGATGACTATAGCTTTGTAATATAATTTGAAGTCAAGTAATGTGATGCCTCCAGATTTGTTCTTCTTGCTTAATATTGATTTGGCTATGTGGGCTCTTTTTTGGTTTCAGATGAATTTTAGGATGTTTTTTCTAGTTCTTTGAAAAACAATGATGGTATTTTGAGGGGAACTGCACAAATCTGTAGATTGCTTTTGGCAGTATGGTCATTTTCACGATATTGATTCTACCTATCCATGAGTATGGGATGTGTTTTTATTTGTTTGTGTCATCAATGATTTCTTTCAGCAGTGTTTCATAGTTTTCCTTGTAGAACTCTTTCACCTCTTTGGTGAAGTATATTCCTTTTGTTTTTGTTTTTGTTTTTTTGGAGCTTCAACCAAGAATTCTATACCCAGTCAAATTATCTATCAAGAATGAGGGCAGAATAAAGGCAGTTCAGATGTGCAAGAACTCAGAAATTTTACCTATAAAGCAGATTTCCTTAGTATTTCTACATGAGAATCTACTCCAGCAAGGTGTGGACAGGAAGAGGAAGATAAAGCCAATGTAGGAAGACAACAGAGTGAAGGTGACAAAGAAAGCTGTGCATCTTCTCTGGAGAACAATTGGCTCAGACTGGAGCAGGTATGGAAGATATTTTTGAGTATTTTTAGCTTACTCTTGTGCCTCTCCAATCTATTATCTATAATATTGCTCAAGTGAACTTGGTAAAGTTTTAGATTACCTTGCCCTCTAGTTGAAAATCCTTCAATGGATCCCGTTAGTTTCAGAATAAAATCCAACTTTCAGGTGGTATAAAAGGCCGTTTGTTATTGACCCCTGACTGCTTCTTCTGTCTCACTTCTTGCTACTCTTCTTGGCCACTTCTACCTTCTGCTCCAGTCACTGATATTTTTACAGATTTCTTAAAGCTGCTTACTGCATCAGAAACGTTGCATCTGCTATTTTCTCTCTGCAAGGAAACAATTCTTCCTCTCTTTTCCCTGGAAGATCCTTCCTTGTTTGTCAAAACTCATTGTTTCAGGAAACCTCCTTGTACTCACCTTGTGCTCACTTCCACCTGCCACTGGTTTAAGTCCCCTTGGTGGTACCCCTGTGGCTTTCCTATATGACTCACCTCTACTACCATTCTGTCTCTTCTTAATTATTGATTTATTTATCTGCTCTCCTCACTTAATGATAATCTCCTCGAGAAAAGGGACCGCTTTTTTTTGTTGTTGTTGTTGTTTTTGACGGAGTCTCGCTCTGTCACCAGACTGGAGTGCCGTGGCGTGATCTCGGCTCACTGCCACCTCCGCCTCCCAGTTTCAAGAAATTCCCCTGCCTCCCCTATAGCTGGGACTATAGGTGTGCGCCAGCACGCCTGGCAATTTAATTTTTTGTATTTTAGTAGAGATGGGGTTTCACCATGTTGACCAGGATGGTCTCGATCATCTGACCTCATGATCCACCTATCTCGGCCTCCCAAAGTGCTGGAGTTACAGGCATAAGCCACCTTGCCCGACCCAGAAACTGCGTTTTGATTGTTGTTGAAGTTTCTATAATGGCTAAGTACTCCAGCTTCTCTGCAGCCAGACTGCCTGGGTTAAAATCTCAGCTGCATCACTTGCTATGTTATCTTGGGAACTCTCTGAGTCTTGGTTTTCTCACTTGCAAAACAATGTGATATTTTCATCTGCAGCACCTGGCACACACAAGATGCTCAACAGTGTGTGAGGAATGAATCCGTGCAGACAGGCAGAGTTCCTGGGGATGGGAACCGCTCAGCAGGGGAGTTAGGATGACTCACTTCAATCAATCTTGATTCCTACCCTCCCTTCCCAAGTAGGAATGCTCAGCTTCCTCCAGAACCGTTATGCTTTGAGGATTGTGAGTAAAATCTGAAAAATGTGATGTCTTTTCCTTTGCATGTTTATCCATGTGTTAACCTAAGGAATTCAGGATATCTCACAGCGCAAAAATGTCTAAATCATGTCACTGCCTGACCATTCTTATGTGGCTGTCTAAACAGGATGTTACTTTAGGACCTAAATTTTCCTAGGTGTGAGTATGTTAGTTAAGGATTACCGAGAGGAAGAGAAGTGATCGTGTACCCATTCTGCAGATGAAAAACCTCATGGTCTTCTCTAAACTCCCCTGGGCCTAACGACTTACACAGCTTGTCAGGAATCTACCAAGAGGAGGTCCCCAGCCCCCAAATGTCCCCTCTTCACCAGCAAAATGAATATTCTCTCTCTTTTTTTTTTTGAGATGGAGTCTTGCTCTGTCGTCCAGGCTGGAGTGCAGTGGCACGATCTCGGCTCACTGCAACCTCTGCTTCCGGGTTCAAGTGATTCTCCTGCCTCAGCCTTCCCAAGTACTGGGACTACAGGCGCCACACCACCATGCCTGGCTAATGTTTTGTATTTTTATTAGAGACGGGGTTTCGCCATGTTGGCCAGGCTGGTTTCGAACTCCTGACCTCAGGTGATCTGTCTGCCTTGGCCTCTCAAAGTGCTGGGATTACAGGCGTGAGCCACCGCGTCCAGACGAATATTCTCTTTTTAGTCTTATGGGGGAGGCAGCATTCCTGTGGGGCTGCTCTACTTGGAATGGGTTTCTAGAAGCAAGAAATTCGACTCTTCCCAATGTGTTCACAAGTTTCGGAGCATAGTCATGAATGAATTGTATCATCTATGTTTTCTCCCATGTTACCTATTCCTGCAAGCGATCATTTTCCAGGAGAAAGAAATAGTGGCATTGAGACTGAGCTAGCTGACCATCAGGCCTTCCTCACCCTCTCAACAGAGAGAGCAATCAGATATCAGAGTAGGCTCCAACTATGAAGCTTTGATGGTTAATGCTTCCAATCTGAGCTTCTCCAATTCTCTTTTTCTTTTTTCATCTCCCTATCCTATACTCAGGGATCCATTTGTCACACAGGTAGATCTATGGACCACAGCTTGGATCACAAAGCAGGGACAATCAATTTTCTAGAAAGCATATTAAGCGCAACATTGATTCAGAGTGCAATGCCCTGAATTCAAGGTTACGTTTCCGTTTTTCTCTATTCAAGATGCTGTAAAGATTGTCCCTTCTTGTAGAGGGCTTATAGTCAAGCAGGTCAAGTCAATGCATATCAAGAAAGAGCTCAGAATGCAGATTAAGTAGCTTCTCTTCTCCATGAGTTATTAAACTTGAGGCTGGCCAAGGGCTGCCAGCTATGGGCAGGAGGTGCAATACCCACGTTTACATATATGCCACTAAGTTTTGATCAACATATAAAAATTAGTTTTCTTACAAATGATTGCACTCTTCCCTGTCAAATTGAACATTGAGGTTCTATGCTTCAAAACAGTTTAGGTCCATCTTAATTTAAGATCTAGATGGCATAGGGCAAGGTTCCATCAAACCATTGCCAAGGAAAGCAAGGGAGTTTGCTGGAGCATTCAAGAACTTTGCCTTGATTACATAAGAGATGTGTTCAGGGCAGGAACACAATGACTTGGGGCAAACCAGGGAGTAGCGGGTTCCTTGCTAAGGCTTTTGGACCCTGAAGACATTGTCGTGCTGTAGTTATGATTGTGTTGTCATGATTGCTGGCTTGTTTCCTGTGGGTTTGAGTCTTTTGATCCCTCCAAGCATGCCAGAAAAAATCTAGTGTTTGAAAAAACTGAGAGCTATCGTGTTATCTACTTATTCCCTGAAGTCCCCTCTGATTAGAGTTGCCAGGTAGAATTTAGGACATCCAGTTAAATTAGAATTTCAGATAAACAACGAGCAGGTTTGTTGTTGTTGTTTTTTTTTTTTTTGAGACGGAGTCTTGCTCTGTCGCCCAAGCTGGAGTGCAGTGGCGCGATCCTGGCTCACTGCAAGCTCCGCCTCCTGGGTTCACGCCATTCTCCTGCCCCAGCCTCCCGAGTAGCTGGGACTACAGGCGCCCGCCACTGCGCCCGGCTCATTTTTTGTATTTTTAGTAGAGACGGGGTTTCACCGTGGTCTCGATCTCCTGACCTTGTGATCCGCCCGCCTCAGCCTCCCAAAGTGCTGGGATTACAGGCGTGAGCCACCGCGCCCGGCTTGTTGTTGTTGTTTTTTAGCATAAGTATGTCCCATGTGATATTTTAGCTAAAATTCAAATTTAACTGGAAGTCTTTTCTTTTTATTTTTTAAATTTTTTTTAATTTTTGAGACGGAGTCTCACTCTGTCACCCAGGCTGGATGTAGTGTAGTGGTGCGATCTGAGCTCACTGCAACCTCCGCTTCCCGGGTTCGAACAGTTCTCCTGCCTCAGCCTCCCGAGCAGGTGGGACTAGAGGCGCACGCCACTACACCCAGCTAATTTTTGTATTTTTAGTAGAGATGGGATTTTAGCATATTGGCCAGACTGGTCATGAACTCCTGTCCTCGTGATCCACCCACCTCGGCCTCCCAAAGTGCTGGGATTACAGGTGTGAGCCAGTGCACCTGGCCCCTGGAAGTCTTTCATTTTGATTTGGTCAATCTGGCAGCCCTACCTCTGATTCCCTTCTAGTTATTGCAAAATGACAAATGCAGCCCCACTTCTGGGCTAATGTTTTGTAATGTGCACCATCTAGTGGTGACATGAACAGGAGGAAACTAAGAAACAACCTGAAACCTTGATGGGATAAAGCTGAAAAGAAAGAATTATAATTTTTTAAATTATTAAAAATTTTTTTCAGCCAGGTGAGGTGGCTCACGCCTGTATTCCCAGCACTTTGGGAGGCCGAGGCGGGCAGATCACGAGGTCAGGAGATTGAGACCATCCTGGCTAACACGGTGAAATCCCATCTCTACTAAAAATACAGAAAATTAGCCGGTCATGGTGGCGGGCGCCTATAGTCGCAGCTACTTGGGAGGCTGAGGTAGGAGAATGGCATGAACCTGGGAGGTGGAGCTTGCAGTGAGCCGAGATTATGCCACTGCACTCCAGCCTGGGTGACAGAGCGACCCGTCTCAAAAAAAAAAGAAAAAAAAAATCGAATTTTCTTCTTTGGATGTGGTGTTTGTGATGAGATCAATAGCTTAGATTGTCCAGTTAATATCTGAAATCCCTTAAGTCATCAAGTGTTTAAACAGCCACACCCACCTGGCTGAGGCCTTGGGCTCCTCTATTGACACGTAAATGCTAATGCACACTGTTGGCATTGATCTATTGTGGTTCCTAGTGCTCCAAGTGATTATTTTACAATAAGCACAGTGGTGTCCAGCAGTATCTATCAAGCACAATAAATGTTGGGTGGGTGCAATTCTATTAAACCCAACTGGGCCTGGAGGAACACACAAGAAGCAAGTATTTCCTGTTTACTATTTTACTGGGGTTGGGTAGATGGTTAAGAGCTCACGGAATTGGCACCATCTAATGGGTCTCCCTCTGGCTGCACACTGGAACTACCTGGGGTGTTTGTAAGACATACCAGTACCTGGACCTTACCCCCAGAGATGTGGAGGTCACTGGTTTGTAGTGGGAATCAGGCCTGTTGTTTTCTGTTTGTTTTTCTTTTCAAGTTTTCCAGAAAACTTTTTATTTTTATTTTTTATTTGAGATGAAGTCTTGCTCTTGTCGCCCAGTCTGGAGTGCATGGCGTGATCCCGACTCGCTGCAACCTCCGCTCCTGGGTTCAAGCGATTCTCCTGCCTCAGCCTTCTGAGTAGCTGAGATTACAGATGCGCGCCACCACGCCCGGCTAATTTTTGTATTTTTAGTAGAGATGGGGTTTCACCATGTTAGCCAGGCTGGTCTCGGATTCCTAACCTCAGGTGATCTGCCCACCTTGGCCTCCCAAAGTGCTGGGATTACAGAAGTGAGCCACCACACCCGGCCCAGAAAACTTTTAAATGAAGCCAGGGTTAAAATGCCTATTAGCAGAAATGGCCCAGACTGAAAAGAGGTGTGGTCTTTGAACAAGTGACTTAATTCCTCTGAGTCTCAGTTTTCTCATTGGTGAATAGGGAGAATTTAAGCAACCTGCTAGGATCCTTATAGAGAGTAAATGTAACACATGCAAAGCATTTAGCCTGTAACTAGCACTGAGTAAATGTTGTTCTTCTTCTAGACAGGAGGCTAAAGGGGTAGATTCCTACCACTCTGGAGGAGAGAATCCAGATCTGGGATGAGCGCTACAATCTGGTCATAGGGGCCAAATGTTACAGCAAAGAGAAGGTGTATGTAAGTTCTGCCAACTCCCCAGGCCTAGGTGTAAATGGGGCTTCACGGTCTTGACAAGGAAGGCAGGGCCTTGGTGAATTACAATCATCTATTGTAATAGTAAGGCTCTGCCTATAAAAGTGGAAAATATAGATAGCATGGAGCAACATAAAAAAGAAAATATAGGCCTGGCGCAGTGGCTCACGCCTGTAATCCCAGCACTTTGGGAGGCCAAGGCAGGTGGATCGTGAACTCAAGGATGAAGAACATCCTGGCCAACAGGGTGAAACCCTGTCTCTACTAAAAATACAAAAATTAGCTTGGCATGGTGGCGCACACCTGTAATCCCAGCTACTCAGGAGGCTGAGGCAGGAGAATCACTTGAATCCGGGAGGTGGAGGTTGCAGTGAGCTGAGATCGCGGCACTGCACTCCAGCCTGGTGACAGAGTGAGACTCTGTCTCAAAGAAAAAAAAGAAAATATAAACCAACTTAGCTCCAGAGAGAGCCACTATGAATATTTGATAGCATTTATTGCCAGTACTTTTCTCTCTGTAGTTTCTGCTCCCCAAAATAGGCATTATTTTGTATGTAATTTTGTAAACTGATTCTCCCCCCTAGTTTATCATTATATCAAGATCATTTTCCAATGTCATTAAGTATCTTTTGAAACACAATTTTCGGTGGCTGCATAATATTGCATTCTGTCAGTGGTTCTCAAGCTTGAGTGTGCATCAGAGCCACCTGGTGAGCTCATTCAAACACAGATTTCTGGGCCCACCTCCAACATTGTTGACTCAGCAGGTCTGGGGTGGGGCTCTGAGATTCAGCATCTCTGACATGTTCCCAGGTGCTGTTGCTGGTGTTGGTCCAGGGATCACACTTTGAGAACCTCTTGTTTATAATCTGCTTCCTTGTCTGCCGCCCACTCCAAATGCAGGGGGCGGGGGGCAGGGACCATGACTTCAATTCATTGAATTCACCCTTGAATTGAATGCCCTGTGGCTAAAGCAGAGCCTGTCACATAGTGCCCTTCTGAATACAGGGTCCTGAAGCCAGCCTGCTGAGGAAGAGGAATTAGATCTACCGTCTGTGGCCCTGAGGCTGACTTGGGTCCTGTGAATGGAAGTAGTGGGGAAACCGAGTTTGGTTCTGCTGTTTCTAGCAGTCAACAACAGAACTTATGAATGCCATGTTCAGTGATGCATTCTCTGTTACCAGAGATATTTCAGCAGCAGGTGGTGTTGGCTCGGGAATTTTGCAGTATTTGAGGGTGGGTAAGAAACTCCACTGTCCACTTTAACCTTAAGTTTCTGTCAGTCTGAGTTCAGCAAAGCGAAAGAATGGTGAGCCATTTCTGGAGACTGCATGGGAATGGGGATTGGACCCTAAAGGGTGGGCAGGATTTAGAAGGCAGACAAGGAGAAGACAACCTCCAAATAGTGTTTGGTCACTGGTGGTGGTGGGGTTGGGGGGTTGGGGAGAAGCATATGCTAATTGATGAGTTAGGTAAATCAAACTTGGTAAACCTGATTCCTAGAATTCCTATGTGTAACGCACCGCCCTTGATTTTCCAGAGAAATTCAAAAGTCAGTAGCTAGCCAAGATCAGAGCTATTTGGTGCAGAGCACTTGCTATTGCTGCCACTTCTTCTCCCTCCCCCTACTTCCCCCTCTTCTTCCTTCTTCTGTTTAAACCATGTGAGTTTCTACTTCTATCAGGTGTTTAGTGCATTCCTGCAAAGCTGCCATTTTAATAAGAAATGGAGATTGAAATCAGATTTCACGTGAAGCCAAAATCTCTTTCTCAGCCTGTCCACTGAGGCTGATTGGTGCTTTGTTGTATTTTGTTTTGTTTTACAGACAAGGCTGAAAGGCAGGAGAGTGGGTGTCTAAAATCCAGCGTCTATTGTTCTGTGATTTTATCACAACATACTCATTACAAAACAGCATAGAAACTCTATTTGCCATTTAGTCCGGGATAAAAATCCAGGGCTCAATTTGTTCTTTGAATAGGTTTTAGAATACACTGGAGGATTAGAGACAGTTTTTTGATGAACAATTTATTTTCAAATACTTTCCAAATTTACAAGGTATCTTTATAATTACAATAGTAATTGCAACAATGAAAAGCAAGACCTGCAGTTTATTGAGTGTCTCTTATTTGCCAGGCCTTAATCAGGATGCTTTGACACACATAATCTTTGTAATCTCAGAATGACACAGTGAGATGGGCACTATATCCTCACGTTACACACGAGGCTCAGAATTTACTTTCCTAAGGTGACATAGCTCGGCTGTTATTACATCCAGCCTCGTGTGCCTACAAATCCTTTGCGCTTCCACTTCTGATCTGCCAATACTGCAGTGCTTAGTTGGGTAGATTTCTTTCCCTGCTAAGCTCATTTTTGTGGTCGGGAGCTCTCTGCTGAGTCCTTTCTATATCTGTGACAGTTTCCAGCCAGAACTACCCAGTATTTTGAGGTACTTGAAACTAGATTAAAAATATATTCACTTCCTTCTGGCTGGATCAAGAAGTCAGAAAGCAATTTTCTTTTTTTTTCTTTTTATGGCACTTAGCTTTGAGTAGTTGAGTCACCTGGGGGTCTTACTGGGGCCTTGATGATGACATTGAAGGCTAGATCTAAGGATCTATGAAGCACCCCCCCCCCCGACCCTGCCTTGAAAGGAGGAAGAAGAAAGTACACAACTATTTGCAGGAGGAATAGTGGAGATAGACCAGCCCAGAAACTGTATTTCAGAATAAATTCATTCCTTTGTGCTTCAAGGCCCCTCATACTGATATGATGTCACCAAAACTGCTCCAGGGCTGTGAGCTGCTAGTCATGGCCCTGGGGCACATCCCTCTGCTCTCCTCAGCATACTGCATCAGCAGAGGTAGGGTGTTAGGGGATGTGCCTACTCACCCCTTTCTCTAGACTGTGAGTTCTTGGGATAGGTAGACCAAATTTCCCCAGGGAGTTTGTGGGTATCCAAGAGAAAGTGGTTGCCGGGCACAGGGAGTGGGCAGCGGGCTGGAAGAAGCCACCTTTTCAGGGCTTTGCTTGGGAACTTCGAACTGCCTGGATTAGTCACTAGGGAGAGGTTTCAAAATCTTTACGGTGTCATGATTTGTTAAACCTTGTCCACATCAGAGCCTGTGGTTTTTCCGAATGCCTTAGAAAGTTAGCCTCTCTGGCCAGGTGTGGTGGCTCACACCTGTAATCCCAGCACTCTGGGAGACCAAGGTGGGAGGATTGCTTGAGGCTGAGAGTTCTAGACCAGCCTGGGCAGCATCGAGAGATCTCATCTCTAAAAAATAAGAAAGGCTGGGCACAGTGATGCATGTCCGTAGTCCCCACTATTGGGGATGCCTGAGTTTGAGGCTGCTGTGAGCTATGAAGGCACCACTGCACTCCAGGCTGGGCAACAGGGCAAGATTCTGTCTCAAAAATAAATGAATAAATAAGTACATAAATAAATAAATAAAATCAGCCTCTCCTCTGTAGCCCCAGAGCTCCTGTGCATATACTTGTCTCAGGACTTCACATACTGACTGCTTCATTCGGTGAGTGCTTACTGACAGCCTACCAGGTGCTGGGCACAAGAATGAACAAAACACTCATGGTTCCTACCTCCATAGAGTTTACAGACAAGGGAGAGGCTTACAGTCGTCTGGACTGAAATGGTGCCCCCAGTACGCTGTGAGATCCTTGAAGGTACAGATCGGGTTGTATTGATTGCAAATTTTCATTTATTTTATTTTAAACTTTGTTATGTAATTTACATGCCATAAAATTCACCATTTGAAAGCGTACAATTCAGTGCTTTTTGTCTGTTCGCAAGGTTGTGCAGCCATCACTCCTGTCTAATTCTGGGACATTTTCATTGCCCCAGAAAGAAACCCTATAACCATGAGCAGCCGCTCCTGTTTCTCCTCCCCAGTCCCCAACAGATAAGATGGTAATCACTCATCTATTTGTTATTCTGTGGATTTGCCTTTGAACATTTCATATCTGCATATGGACATTTAATATAAATGGAACCATGCAATACCTGGTCTTTTTGTCTGACTTATTTTCACTTAGCATAATGTCTCCAAGCTCTTCCCTGTTATAGCATGTGTTACTACTTAATTTCTTTTCATGGCCCAATATCCCATTGAATCTATTGCACAGAGATACCACAGTTATCCATTTATCAGTTGATGATGGTTCTACTTACTTTTTTCTTTTTGAGACAGAGTCTCATTCTATCACCAAGGTTGGAGTGCAGCGGTGCAATCACAGCTCACTGCAGCCTCTACTTCCTGGGCTCAGGTGATCCTCCCAGCTCAGCCTCCAAAGTAGTGGGGACTACAGGCACATACCACCACGCCCAGCTAATTTTTTTATATTTTTTAGTAGACATGGGGTCTCGTCATGTTGCTTAGGCTGGTCTCCAACTTCTGGGCTCAAGCGATCCACCTGCTTAGGCCTCTCATTGTTAGGATTACAGGTGTGAGCCACCACACCTGACTGGTTCTATTTACTTTTGTATTTTGTCCCTTAATATCTTTCTCCCTCCCTCTTGCCCTTCCTCCTTTCCTTCCTCTCTTCTCTACTTCTCCTTCCTTCCCTCTCTCATTCCTTCTTTCCTCTTTCAAATACTTGTTGTTCCACACCTACCATGTTATGGACACTGTAATGAACCTTCTGATAAAGGTTCCAGACTAAAGAAAACAAAGTTTTAAACAAGTTTTAAATAAATGCTTTGTTTTAAAATAGTTTTAGGTTTACAGAAAAGGGCCGGGCACGGTGGCTGATGCCTGTAATCCCTGCACTTTGGGAGGCCGAGGTGGGCGGATCAACTGAGGTCAGGAGTTCGAGACCAGCCTGGCCAACAGAGTGAAACCCCGTCCCTACTAAAAATACAAAAATTAGCCAGGGGTGGTGGTGGGCACCTGTAATCCCAGCTACTTGGGAGACTGAGGCAAGAGAATCTTTGAACCTGGGAGGCGGAGGTTGCAGTGAGCTGAGATTTTGCCACTGCACTTCAGCCTGGGCGACAAGAATGAAACTCTGTCTCATTAAAAAAAAAAAAGATTTACAGAAAAGATGCAACGGTAGTACAGAGTTTGTGTATCTCACACTCAGTTTCCCCTATTGTTAACATTTTACATTACTCTAGACAAGTTCAGGGTGGTGTGGCCATAGACTTACATTACTGTAGTCCATTTGTTGCAACTAAGGAGGCAGCATTGTTACACTACTGTTAACTAAACTCTATACTTTATTCACATTCCACTAATTTTCCAATGACCTTTTCCTATTCCCGGATCCCATCCAGTACCCATCCACATTGCAATTAATCATCGTGTCTCTTTAGCTCTCCAGTCCGTGACAGTTTCTCAGGCTTTCCTTGGCTTTGGTGACCGTGACAGTTTTGAGGAGTAGGAGTGAAGTTCTTTGTAGAATATCCCTCATTTTGGGTTGGTCTGATGTTTTTCTCCTGGTTGGGCTGGGGTTACAGTTTTCTGGGGGAGGATCATCCTAGAGGTGAATAAAGGCACCATTTTAAAATTGCTGTGAGGTGCTCTGAACTAAGAAGTGAGACCAAATCTACCAGGGCTATTCAGAAAAAAATCAGAGAAATCTTACATTCGAGGTCTTTAAATGGTAGTGGTGTGGTATAGAAGGATTCCTTGGAAATTTTTTCCTAAGGAAGTTGTTTGTTGCCTATCATCATGGTGGTGACTAAATGAGCCTTTATCTGACATATAGACAAGATTTGACATTTGTTCTTTTCCTCCCCATTGGCTCTAGAGTGTGGCCTTGGGTGAGTCAAACCTTCTTCCTTGGCCTCTATAGAATTAGGAGGTTGGAACTAATGACCTTGGAGAACTCTTCCCACTGCGACAGCTTATGCTCTAAGAGGTGGCCCATAACATCCCTCAACATCGTTGAATTCCAAAGTTGGACTCCCCTCTGCTCCTCTATCAGTCCAGGCTGTTTGCATTCAGGTGACATGTGCCCCTAGGGACATGGCCCACCCCAACCCCCTTTTCAAAGCCTTCCTTGCAGACAAACACACACATACACACACACACACACACACACACACACACACACACACACACACAAGCCCTAGATATTTGCAGCATGGATCTCCACTTTGAGGGACTCAGTGAACATTCCAGGGCAGCAGTGCCCAGAGCCAGACCCCTGCCCTGGCCATCCCTGCCGCCCTGCTGACACAGCACAAGAACCGGCATGGCCAGGGTCACAGGCAGACCTACACGCCACACCATGCTGGAGGCTCTTTCACCCCAAGGGGCTGTTTTGGTTCAGCAGCTCCCGTGGCTTGAATAAGTTAATCACTGATGACAAGAGATTAATTTATAACTGGACAGCAGACAAGATAGTTCGGGCTTTGGCGGGGTGGCACTGAACTGTGGCGCGGGGCATTGCTCAGAAGACACCTGGGTCTGCAGCTTGGTGCAGAGGCTGGGAACTTCAGATCCTCACTGGCTCCCCAGAGGCCACTTGGTCCAAAGAGAGGAACCATGTGCTGAGGACTTCCGCTTCCTCTCTCCAGCGTATTTACTTGTAGAAAACATGTCCAGGCAACAGACAGGCCCGTTAGAAAAGTCCAGTTAAGAGAGAGCACCAGCATGCCAACCCAGCCCAGGCCCGTTGGAGGAAGAGGGAGAGGGGTGGGGAGAGAGGAAGTCATGGAAAGATATGGAAGGATGGATGGGAGCCTGGGATTCCTACAGCCTGAGTCACCCAGCTTGTGGATTCTCCCGCTCCACCTTAGGCAGGGCTCAAGCAGGTCTTTGAGGATCTGCCCTCCCATCCCACATTGTCGTTTCCAATGTTAGCCTCCTCATTCTGGGTTAAAAAAAAAAAAAAAAGATGGAAGTGCGGCATGATGCGTAGGCCTCTCTAGGGCCTGATCTTCATGCTCCAGATACTGCTTTTATATCAAGTAAAATGACCCTTCTCTGCCACACTGGAGATGCGTGGCTGTAGATACTGACTTTAGGGGCTACAGTTTTTGCCAGCTTCAGCAGTCTCCTGTATTCAGCCAGGACAGTTTGGAGTTCTTAAATCAGGCCTATTTATCAAAGAAGTCCCTGGCAATACTTCCCTGATGGCCATGGGACCCCAGGAGTCCACAATCTAACTAGAGGAAGAACATGAGAAAGAGGGAGAAGGGAAATGGGACTGAAAATAGGATGGAAGCCCGCATGAGAAATGGGGGTGCAGAGGAACTCCTCTGGGGGCTGCCAAAATGTGGGCTTCCTGCCTAAAAGGGCTCTGGGAGCCCAGTGGAGTGGTGGGTGACTTACGCTTGATTGTCCCCCAGGAGTGGATTCTTGTCATTTGGATTCAACCCTGCTGCCCTGGCCCCATTTGTTCACACCACGTGCACCAATGTCTCTGTCTTTGTTTGTGTCCTTCCTTGACCCAGAATGCCCTTCCCAGCCATCAAGACCTGGCTGAGACTTCACTTGCACTGGAAACCCTTCCACAGATCTTTATATGGGACCTCAGGATCCTTCTCTTTGATCCCTGTGCTTCTTTGTATCTATTGCAACAGTATCTGTTGGTTCTGATAGGCAGATTAGTATCACCTGGGGGACCTTGTTAAATACACAAATCGTAGCCCTGAATCACAATGTCTTGGGGTGGGTTTTGGGAAGCTGTTTTCATTGGTCTTCATATGTGTTTTGAATGCTTGGCCAGGGTTGGATATGTCGTTTCTGGACTGTGTCTCCTGGGGGTGGGCACAGAACTTATATCATGGTGACCACATGTCACTGTGCCCAGACAACCTCCTAGGCCTGGCAAAAAGGCAGGCAGAGTGCAAGGCTCACACCCTTTAATTCACACCATTTTAATTCATTCATAGTTCCTGCTTCATGCCCCAGACACTATGCTGGGTTCTGGGGGTACAAGAGCAAAACCTAACATAGTTTGCCTTCACACAGCTTCTAGTCTAAGGGGGGGGGAGAATAGAGGTGACTCAAATTCCCAACGCCCACATAATTACAAAGTGCAGCTTGAGTGTTAAAAAGGAAAAACAAAGGTGCTCAGAGAACCTGCAACGGGGACTCTAATGTAGGCTGGGAGATCAGGGAAGGCTGAGCAGAGCCCCAAAGGAGGGGCAGTAAAGGAGGGGAGGGGCTGGAAACAGTCTCTTACTGGAGTCTTCTCAGAACTATGTTCATGCAGGGCCAGCTGGGAGCCATTAGGGTGTAAGCTCCTCTACAGACACCCAAGACGGTTTCCCAAGCTTCTCCTCACGCCTGCCCCGCCACCCAGCCTTCACTTCCGCTTTCCTGCCATCTGCTCTTGCTGTGAGCCTTTGGGAGCTGATGTGTTTGTTAACAAAGGAAAAACCCATTTTTCCATGCCGGGTGGCTGCCTGCTAGCATATACGGTGCCTCTACTCAATTACCAAAAGGTGCCCCTCCATTTGAACTGACGTAACCTTGCACTGGGCACATGACTTGGCCAGTGGAGCTCAGACTGGATTCAAGCCACTACTCATGCCTCCGCTACCCTCTCTTGGCCCAGTGCCCTTGCGCAGTGAACAACTTGGACAACCTTCTGTAGTGGCCCTGCTGCAGTCTCCTCTTAGGCAGAAAGTTCTGGCTTCTTGGCTCACCCTCACAGCTAGAAGATTCCTTTATCCCAGAAGGAGATAATTACATCTTCTATGGGCATAAATCTGTTTGGGCATTTAGAGAAGAATTTATATGTATTTTCTGAAGGACTGGGTGTTTTTCTGATCTAAATTGAAATGATGATTCTTTTAAATATGATCCAAGAGAGTCCTTTCATATGGTAATTCACACACACTCTGGCTGATAAGCCCTAGACTTGGCAAACGGTTCAAAGCAGAAATTGGGTTCAGATGAGGTGCAGGGATGTTTTTGATCTGATTTTCTTCTAGCCGCTGACATTGGGAGAATTTTGGCCTCTGAGTGGCAGTGGGCCCCAAAAAGCCTGGTAAAGTAAGATCCTTTTTTTCTTTTTCTTTTTTTTTATTTTTAATTTTTGAGACAGAGTCTTGCCCTGTCGTCCAGGCTGGAGTACAATGGCGTGATCTCGGCTCACTGCAACCTCTGCCTCCCGGGTGCAAGTGATTCTCCTGCCTCAGCCTTCTCAGTAGCTGGGATTACAGGTGCACACCACCATGCTTGGCTATTTTTTTCTTTTTTCTTTTTTTTTTTTTTTTGTATCTTTAGTAGAGACGGGATTTCACCATGTTGGTCAGGCTGGTCTCGAACTCCTGACCTCCTGATCCACCCGCCTCGGCCTCCCAAAGTGTTGGGATTACAGGCTTGAGCCATCATGCCGGGCCAAAATAAGATCTTTTTAAAGAAAGTCTGAAATGCCTAGAAAGGGTAGAGGAGTCCTTGCTACACTTGGCTTTAGAAAAATAAGCCTTTTCTGGGAGAAGATAAGTCTCATCAGACAGTAAGCAAGTCAGACGATCTGAGCTGGAGTGGCCTTTGACAGGTACCTCATCTAGATCCTTCTTTTTATCCTTGGGAAAACTGAGGCTCAGAGAGAGGAAGTGGATTGGCTTAGGTCCCACAGTGAGTGGCAGAGCCAGGATACACCTGACAGGTGCTTGTTCTGCACCTGAACCTTGAGAGTTACTGTTCCCCCCCAGAGTGGTGCCAGCAGGGTCTGCTATAAGGATGGTGCAAGCTCAAAGGGTGACTGTGTGTGGGAATGGTGAGAAGGGGACACCATCTAGGACCAGAAATCATGGTGTCTCCCCAAGCCCCGTGTGGCCTCTCCTCTTCCAGATACAGAAAGCTGCTTCTGCTACTTAAGCAGGTTAGGGACAGGCATCATCTTCAAGAGGTGACGCTAGGAATGGAGTGAGAACTGGGAATGGTGGAAGCAGAAGACAGAAGCTGATCTTATGGACACAGAAGAGTACATAAGTGAATCACAGGCCGTATCACAGTCTCATCAGTGATTATAATAATTGGTTTTGGGCTGGGGGAGGATTGATTGTCAAAGTGACATCCTCTTTTACGTGCCGTATTTTTCCATGTCTGACATCTGAAAAAGCACTTTCAGTTGTAAGGATAAGATGAGCTCATGGGTGCTCAGGAAATGGCAGCATCTCTTGAGAGATTCTGTTAAGGAAAGTGGGGGAGGAAGGGAACTAGATATAAGTCTTCTCCTTTAATACTTTCAGGAGGTATGGTTCTCCTTATCTCACAGATAAGGAAACAGGGTAAATATCCTGCCCAAGGTCACATAGCCCATATGCAACGAAGCTCAGCTCTTCTGGTTCTGGGCCATTCCCCACACTTTACCTTGCAGTGCCATGCTAGCTTCTCTTAGACTTACCTTTAATTTCCATTAGTTTCAGCTGACTCATCCTTTCCTCCCAGGCCCTGCCCTCCCTCCTCAGAGGACCTGGGGCAGACATGATCCCTGAATTCAGGTGCATGGAATAGGAGTGTGGCGCCTTGCCTCTACGCTCGGACTTTGGGAGACAAGTGTGTTGGTAGCTTAAGCATTTGAAAATGCTGGAAATAGGCCGGGCGCGGTGGCTCAAGCCTGTAATCCCAGCACTTTGGGAGGCCAAGACGGGCGGATCACGAGGTCAGGAGATCGAGACCATCCTGGCGAACACGGTGAAACCCCGTCTCTACTAAAAAAATACAAAAAACTAGCCGGGCGAGGTGGCGGGCGCCTGTAGTCCCAGCTACACAGGAGGCTGAGGCAGGAGAATGGCGTGAACCCGGGAGGCGGAGCTTGCAGTGAGCTGAGATCCGGCCACTGCGCTCCAGCCCCGGCGACAGAGCGAGACTCCGTCTCAAAAAAAAAACCTTTTTCCAAATCTGTGAGATCAGGAGATATTCTGAGACAACACCCAGGGTTGGTTGTTTGTTTTTAACTCTAAGACCATCCTGTTTTCCATAGACCTGAGCACCATCAGCAAGCCAGGACTCTCTTCTGATCCATACTCCAAAGTCAGCATAAACATCTCCAGCCAAAGCTGTTCCTTGTTCTGTCAGTAACACAGTTCCCGAGGAGACCAGGGCCTCTTTCCTTCCCTTTTCTCCTGGCTGCTCCTCTTCCGGTGACAAAACAGGGGCAGCGTCAAATGAAGACCGTCATCTTTTGTGAAACTGTCCTACAGACTAGGCAACTGTGAATTTTTCATCAATCCTGATTTCTCTAATGAGTTGCAACATGATCTAACTCCAACATGCAAAATTCAACATTTCCATTCCCTGTTTGTTAAGGGTGCAGGTGAATATGAAAAGGCAAATTTCAAAGGTGAACTTTCCTATCTCTGAAGGGCACATGCAGGAGCCTGAACCCAGCTGGGAGCCAGGAGACGTGCATTTTGGTCCTGACTCCCTCCCTGCTGCCTGTGTGCTCTTGGGCAAGTTGCTTTAATCATTCTGGGTTTACATGCTTGCTAAGGACTCTTTCAGTGCAAATATTTTATAATTATAAACACGGAGAAAATTTTCTCGATAATGTAGTTCCTTTGTAAAGATACACTTCACATATGCATCATGGCCTATGATACCTGGTGAGTTTAGAATTTTCTCTTGATTGGAACAGGGATGGGTGTTTAAAACAAATGACCTGAGTCCTTTCCACCTGTGGCCCTGAGTCTGTGGGTTTGGTAAGTCAATTAGGTTGGAGAGTCACAAGCAGTTTACCCTGCAAAAATACTTCCCATTTGTTTAAAATCAAATCCTCAAGATGGAGTGGTATTTCCAAACTCCAGTGAGTTGAAGCCTCAGAACTAAAGAACTGGATCACGGAGTTAGTCCAGCACATACTTCCGCTTTGCTATACCTTCCGTTTTTGTCTAGTACCACTTGCTAGTGAAATATCTGTTCTGGGTCTTTCCAAAGACAACCACATCCAAATGGGGAGAAGGCCGACATTCGGGGTGCTGGAAGGGTGGGGTGGCATGATTCAGATCAACAGGGCTAACTTTCCACTGTTTCACCTCACTTGCACTGTAGAGACCAGTACTGGGACTCCTCAGTTGACAGATGTGGAGACCCAGAGTCAAGGAATGATGGTCCCCTAGGACCCCTGGGGAATTTCACACAACCAGAGTCAGCACCTGGCTGCCATCAGCCTAAGGCTGTGTCACTCAAGAGGGCTTCCTCTCCAGATGAATAAAAGCTGATTTGAAAAGTAAAAGAGTCTAAAAAACATACCATTACCTTAAGAACAACTTTAACATGTGTAGATAGAGACTCAAAGATTTTTATTTCTATTTTCAGTCAAACACATATCAAAACCCGGCATGTTTTCAAACACCACGACCGACACTTGATTTGTGTTTCCTGAAGCCACCCCAGTGAGCCACTATGAAATAAATTAAAAAGAATGGTCAAGGCTGAATGCACACTGAGGTTTCCATGTGCTCAGCTCAGCAGATTCAGGTATGACCCCTACAGAGCTTGGACTCTGAACTGGCACTGACATTCTCTACGCTCAGCGACCATTTCACACAATGAATTCATCTGTGTAATTGTGCCTAGCTGTCCCTAGATTAACTCCATGTTTGCATGAAGATCAAAATGCTTACTTTTCAAAGTTTGGTTTTCTTGATTTCTGTCTTATCTGGGGAGGCATTCATGCTTGGAATTTCCTGGGCTTTTCTTTTTTAAATCTCACGGAGAGATTGAGAGCGTTAAGGGGGCAAGAGTAGGGGGCAGGGGCAGGGAAGCTTGCTTTTTATTGTTCTTTTTTTGAAACAACAATTGGCAAATTTTCTTCACTGTTTTGGTGTTCTCTTGTTAAAGGCAACCCAGACCTCAGAGTAATAGCATTCTTGCTTTGCCCCCACCCCTAAATCCTACCTTAGTCAGAACATGAGCTAGAATTCGGCATCATTAAAAAAAATTTGGCCGAGGCGGGTAGATCATGAGGTCAGCAGTTCGAGACCAGTCTGGCCGACATAGTGAAATCCCGTCTCTATTAAAAATACAAAAACTAGCCAGGTGTGGTGGCGGGCGCCTGTAGTCCCCGCTACTTGGGAGGCTGAAGCTGGAGAATCGCTTGAACCCGGGAGGCAGATGTTGCAGTGAGCCGAGATCGTGCCATTGCACTCCAGCCCGGGAGACAAGCGAGACTTCGTCTCAAAAATATTCGGTTGGGTTGTCAGTTACATAAAGAGTGCACATCTGAAGTACCTACCTTGATAAGTACTTATGTCTGCTTTGCTTATACCTTCCGTTTTTGTCTAGTACCCCTTGGTGATGAGGTATCTGTTCTGGGTCTTTTCAAGGCCAACCACATCTGAGTGGGAAGAAGGCCAACGTTCAGGGTGCTGGTAAAGGTGGGGCGGCATGATTCAAATCCACAGGGCTGACTTCCACTGTTTCACCTCACTTGCGCTGTAGCAGCCAGTTCTGGGAGAAATATTGGAAGGCACGCTGCACCTTTCTTCACAATGGGATCAACAGGTGAAAGCAAGACGTTTGAATGGAGTGGAGTGTTTCACTTAATCATTAGCACTGCTGACATCAATGAAAACCAAACAATGCGTATCGTCGGCATGGGCACCTACGGTGAGTGGAAAGGAGGCCAGGTTCTTAGTAAGCTTTATGATGAGGTAGGGGACAGATGGGCTTCAAAACAGAGCCGAGGAAGCAGTGTGGCTTATATTTCAGCTGCAGCGTACAATTGTGTTTGTGGTTGAAGAATCCAAACTGTGCCAGCTATTTCAAAACAACATCAGGAGGGCAGAAGTGTGTTCCAGCATCCCTAGTTGGTGCCAGGAGACAGCCTTGAGAACAAACACATCTTTTCTCGCAATAGGAAGCCAACTATTTACTTATGCAAGTAATACTATAAGAAGGCATTTGAGTTGCAGCTCCTGAGCTTTGGACCGACCCCTAGACTTGTTTCAAAAAGCTCTTTCTGGAGGAAGAAAAGTCCTGAGGTTCTCAGGTCAAGCCCTGGCTCCAACAACAACTTAAATCCAATAAGAGCCTCCTTTGCCTATAGGTTGAACCAGCCCAGGCAAACACCATTAAGACAGCTTCCAAACAAAGATGACAATATTACCATTTCAGCCTGAACCTGGTTGCAAAATTCATTTTGTGAATTTTGGACAAGCAGAACTGTAGCATGAATGGGACCCTAACTAAAATCCATGCATTCAACTCATTCGTTCAACAAATATTGAGTGGGATGTGCCAATATCTATCGACTGGGAATGTGTAGTATGACTCCCTGGCATCATTAAAGGTGAATGTAAATGCAAGAGCAACTGGTATGGTTGTGCTTTCTTCACAAATTTGGTTCAGCTACACAGGGTCAGGTGCTAAGGAAGCAAGAGAGTTGGATTTAACCAGGGCTGTGGTTTTGGAAAAGCAACATGAAATGAAGGAAGAGAGAGTTGAGGATATGGAAGGAAGTGATGGAGATGAATAATTATGGGATTGAAAAGTGAATTTTATTTTATGTTTTTGAGACAGGGTCTCTCTCTCTCTGTCATCCAGGCTAGAGTGCAGTAGCGGAAATATGGCTCACTGCAGCCTTGACCTCCTGGGCTCAGGTGATCCTCCCACCTCAGCCTCCTGAGTAGCTGGGACCACAGGTGCGTGCCACCACTCCTGACTAATTTTCGTGTATTTTGTAGAGATGGGTTTTCATCACGTTGCCCAGGCTGGTCTTGAACTCCTGGGCTCAAGTGATCCACCCTCCTTGGCCTCCCAAAGTGCTGGGATTACAGGTGTGAGCCACTGTGCCCAGCCTGGCCTCTGATGTTATTAATAGTTTCTGATCCTGCATCTAGAAAGGGATTCCAAAGCAGGCGAACCTCTCACACTAAAAGCGACCAGTCATCTTTCGTTCTGAGCAAATTTCAGATGGAGTGTAGCAGAAAGATGACGTTGGACTGGCAGTTGGGGACCTGGATTCTAAGCCAGCTCTGTCACTGTTCATCAGTCCCTTCTTCCTTTCAGGCCTCAGCGTCCTCCTCTGTGTAATGAGTGACATTTAAGTTCACTAAGCTCTAATCTGGCTTCTACCGTTTCCCTGCACAGGTGGCATCTTTTTGCCCACTTTGACTTGCCTGGCCTGTTTCAGATTCAGGACTGGCACGGCATTGGCAAGTTTATGGTTTTACAAACCCTGAAGCACGATTTGCAATAAATGATGAAGACATTAAAAATACTGCATGCAAACACCATGGTCTTGAACAAGGACAGGACTTTGGAATTGTAAGAGGAGTGGAAAGGCACTGATGGTCCAAACACCTGTCCTTGAGTTTGAAACCAGCTGGGTAAGTGACTGGCAAACTCTGGGAGACTCACTGGTGTTGGGGACACTGAACGGCACTTTCCCCAGGTGTCGTATCCTAGGCAGTTTGGGTGGTAGGTGGGCAAATTGTCAAAAATAAATCAAAATCTCTAGTGAGAAAATCTTTTTCATTGTCTTTCGATCTTCCCGATTCCTTTGAGGGGTCTGTTGCTAGGGTAGGCTTACTCCCAAACCCTTGTAAATATGTCCTTCCTCCCTGAAAACACTGTCCTTTGGCCCCTGCTTTTATTAAACAGAGCAAAAACAGGTCTCAAGCTCAGAAGGTTTACCAGTATAGAGTTTAATGATATTGTTTTGTTTTGTTGCATTTCTTTTTGTGATCACTTTCCATTAATGGCAAGCGACTTTTTTTTCCATTTAGAGTGATATAAAATTTTTCTTAAAATACAGATATTCAAATTAAAAAAACTGAGTTGATTTCTATGAAAAATGGTGTAGGTTCTACACAGATATGACACTGTGGGACAGATGGTTCCTGGAGTTTGGGAAACGCTGATGGGCGGCGTTCCCTAACCTGGCACTGCTTAGATAGGGGAGATACCTCTGACCACAGTCGTGTTTGTAATGCCATTTAGATCTACTGGTTCCAATAACTCATGGGTCTTTTTTTCTTTTTAAATAAATAATTACCTTTTCTTGATCACTATTGTATAAAACTTGGAAATACAGAAAAACATGTAGAATAAAGAGAGAAAATATATAAAATTATATAGAATAGAATGAAAAATCACTCATCTCTCCACTCAGAAATAACCACTCCTAATATATTAGTAAATTTACTACGAGTGCACCAACATAGCTGTTATTATAGTGTATACATTTTATTTTTGTAGCCTGTTTTATTTCCTTAACCTTATAGTGTAAGCATGTTCCGTATCATTCAAAATTCTTAATAAACATCAGTCTAAATGGCTGTAAGATATTTAATGTAGAGAGGTCTCATAATGGATGTAATCATTCCCTAGCTGTTGGACATTTTACTATTCTCCAAATGTTGGGTTGTTTCTGGTTCTGCCTATTATCATGCTGTGATGAATATATTTTTGTTTGTTTAACAGACAGGGTCTCACTCTGTTGCCTGGGCTGGAGTGCAGTGATGTGATCCTAGCTCACTGCGGCCTCGAACTCCTGGGCTCAAGCAATCTTCTTGTCTCGTCCTCCCAAAGCTCCAGAATTACAGGTGTGAGCCACGGCACCTGGCCTGAATATCTTTATGCACATCTCTTTGTCTTTATTTTAGATGGTTTCCTTGCAGTCATTTCAGAAGTGGCATTCCCAAATGGGAAGATTTTTAAGGCTTTTGGGATACATATTGCTGTATCTTTTTTTTTTTTTTTTGAGACGGAGTCTTGCTCTGTCGCCCAGGATGGACTGCAGTGGCGCAATCTCGGCTCACTGCAAACTCCACCTCCCGGGTTCACACCATTCTCCTGCCTATGTATATGGGACTACAGGTGCCTGCCACTGTGCCCGGCTAATTTTTTGTACTTTTAGTAGAGACGGGGTTTCACGGTGTTAGCCTGGATTGTCTCGATCTCCTGACCTCGTGATCCGCCCCCCTTGGCCTCCCAAAGTGCTGGGATTACAGGTATGAGCTACCACGCCCGGCCTAGACTTTTTTTTAGAAGGATGAGATATGAATGTATTCAGATCCCCTGAACCTACATGATAGGACATACCCTAATTTGTGTGTGTAGGGTGGTGGTGTCACTAGAAAGAGCTGACTCTGCTACTTTGGGCAAGTTACCCAACTTCACCAATTCCTATTGGTGCAGGTCTCAGTAATCACTTCCCAGAAATCCAAGAGTGACTGTTCTACAGAGCGAGGCTTATGAGTGCTCATATTTTAGCTTTAAATGTACAGATATGGGCTGGGCATGGTGGCTCATGATTGTAATCCCAGCACTTTGGGAAGCTGAGGCAGGTGGATCACTTGAGGTAAGGGGTTCAAGACCAGCCTGGCCAACAATGGTAAAAACCCATATCTGCTAAGAAAATATAAATGTTAGCTGGGCATGGTGGTGGGTGCCTGCAGTCTCAGCTACTTGGGAGGCTGAGGCAGGAGAATCACTTGAACCCGGGAGGCAGTGCTTTCAGTGAGCCGAGATCATGCCACTGCACTCCAGCCTGGGCAACAGAGCGAGGCTCCAAAGTGCAGGTGTCATTAACTTCAGTTTGTGTTATTTCTCTTTCATGAAAAGGGCTCAACAAAAATATTTGGGAAAACTACTTGTCTCAACAGCCTAAAATGCTTTTTTGTAGCAGAGGTAGGAAAGGTTTGACTAAACATCCCTGACATTAGGAAGAAATGCAACAGGGGCTCATGCTTCCTGGTGCCAGGAGCCGAGCAGAGGGCCTGGTGTTGAGCATTTCTAATCTTCCCAAGCAGCTTTCCCCACGGTGGGTTATACAGAACATTGGTTCTGCAGGATGCTAACAGGTATTCCTTGCAAAAACAATTCTGGTGCTTGGAAAAAACTGAGTTAATGAAAGTGGAACCCATTCTTTTGTTATTTGAGAATTCCCAAGACGAGGATATGATATTGAGCATTTGCCAAACTCACTTGACAATAAAACCCCTTTCCATCTCATAGGATTGATGTGCCAAAGACCAAACTTTGAGAGTCACTGCTCACAACAAGATTGCAGTATAATATTTCTCTCTGTATCTCACAAACAGGAAAGCTGAGGTCAGGTAAATTGACCAAGAGGGCAAAACCTAGTGACTCAAGGACTCAGGGTTGGAACCCAGAGCCACCTGACCTTAAACCCATGTTCTCTTCCACTCTCCCCTGGAAAGGGGCTCAGACTGTGGGGTGCCCCTGACCCAAGTGTTGAGTGCCTGACGCTACAGGGCAAATACGAAATCAAGATCAGAGCTTGAATAGAGAATCCCAAACTGAGTGTGTTGATCCTGGGGACTGGGCCACGCTGGAAATTGACGCAGGGTGAATAAGCCAAGGAAATGAGCAGCCTGGAAGCTGAACATGAGGAAGGCGGTTGGGATAAATCTCGGGGACTGCATGAACTGCTGTGTCATGGAATCAGCTGGCTTATGAGGGAACAGGATTCATCTCTTGTAGCTAGGTGAGGTGGAGAGAGGAAGAGGAACAATATTCTATTTGAGGGCTGCCCAAGACTCTCCTCTTATTGCCTCGCAGTTCTTGACTATGTTAATTCTCCATGCCTCCCACTACGAAGTCATCAAGTATTCCTTTGTCTCCTGTTGTCCTCAAAGCCTCAGCCTGGGCTGTTTGCTGCTAGGGCTCCGCTTTTCAACAGCTTTATACACTCTCCATGTGCATGATTCTGGCTTCAGGGGTGTGGAAGAAACGGATTCTGATAACGCAATAGTATAATATCTAAAGCACTGCTGGTCCATGCACTCGACAAAGATCCATGTCCCAGGCCTGGTCTAGGCACCATGGATACATTAGCGAGCCATCCGGACACAGATTCTCGGCCTCATGTCATGGCCCTTCGCCGAGGGAGAGATGATAAGCCGGATAAGGAAGTCAAATGTTAGACAGTGATCCGCAATAAAGAGAAAAGGGGGAGGGGCCTGACATTTTAGATTGGGTGCCCAGGGGGGCCTTACTGAGAAGGGGCTTTTTAATTTCCATCACAGCCCTTTGAGCAGAGAAGGGATTCAACATTTGTTGCACTTCTGGCAGCTGACAGGCCTTGCACACTTATATATCCCACATTTTCTTTTCCTCTCTAACTTAACAGATGAAGAAAGTGAGGCTCCGAGAAGGCGAGTCATTTTTCTTCATTAGAAACTGGTTCAGGCCGGGCGCGGTGGCTCACGCCTGTAATCCCAGCACTTTGGGAGGCTGAGGCGAGTGGATCACAAGGTCAGGAGATCGAGACCATCCTGGCTAACATGGTGAAACCCCGTCTCTACTAAAAAGACAAAAAAAATTAGCCAGGTGTGATGGTGGGTGCCTGTAGTCCCAGCTACTCAGGAGGCTGAGGCAGGAGAATGGCGTGAACCTGGGAGGGGGAGCTTGCAGTGAGCTGAGATCGGGCCACTGCACTCCAGCCTGGGCAACAGAGCGAGACCCCGTCTCAAAAAAAAAAAAAAAAAGAAACTGGTTCTGACACCAGAAAGCCCACACTCTCTCTGCAATCTCACACTCTCTTCTTGAAATAACCAGGTCAGCCACTAT